AAGTATAGCCAAATATTGAAATAAATTCTTCAATGTAGACTTTCCGGATTTGGGTTGTATAACATTTTAAGCCTTTTGAACACATATATTATTGCAGAATACTTTCTATACCAATTTTGATTATCTTTGAAAAAATCTCTACTAGGTAAAAATACTATGTTACAGTTTAATATGTATTTTTGTTACGTGTGAACATCTTTTCTTTTCTTTTTTTGTCAGATGAAGTTGCTTTTGTTGCCCAGGCAGAGTGCAGTGGCACAATCTCGGCTCACTGCAAGCTCCGCCTCCCAGGTTCAAGCGATTCTCCTGCCGCAGCCTCCCAAGTAGCTGGGATTACAGGCACCCGTCACCATGCCTGGCGTGTTTTTGTATTTTTTTAGTAGAGACGGGGTTTCATCGTGTTGGCCAGGCTAGTCTCAAACTCCTGGCCTCAAGAGATCCTCCTGCCTTGGCCTCCCAAAGTGCTGGGATTACAAGCATGACCCACTGTGCCCAGCCTTGTTTCTTAATTTCAAAGTTTTCTTTTTATATATGTTAACTATATTAAACTTTGATCTGGCATGTTTAGTATAAATACTTTCTCTATTAACTTGATTTTATGAAGTGACATTTGTAAAACATGTACCGGTTTTTAAATTTTATTTGAAATTATCAGCATGTTTATTGGTGATCTTTTCTAATGAGGGGAGGAGATATCATGGCAAAAAAGACCTTTCCCTACGTTACAGAGGTTATATAAATAAGTTATGTCAATTTTCCTTAGCTTTTTTCTGTTATTTTGTTTGTTTGTGTAAATCTTTGGAAATACTTGGTGTTTACTTTGGTGTGTCATAGGTGTCTAATTTTATTTTTTCCCCATTTGCTCAATCATGAATTTCTTTCCTCATATGAGATAGTTCATATTTCATTCACTGATTTTTTTTTTTTTTTTTTTTTTTTTTGAGACAGTCATGTTGTGTCGCCCAGGCTGGAGTGCAGTGGAGCCATCTCGGCTCGCTGCAAGCTCCGCCTCCCGGGTTCACACCATTGTCCTGCCTCAGCCTCCAGAGTAGCTGGGACTCCAGGCGCCCGCCACCACACCCGGCTAATATTTTGTATTTTTAGTAGAGATGGGGTTTCACCATGTTGGCCAGGATAGTCTATCTCTTGACCTTGTGATCTGCCCACCTCAGCCTCCCAAAGTGCTGGGATTACAGGTGTGAGCCACCGTGCCCGGCCTCATTCACTGAATTTTTACACACCCACATTGTTTCTGGGCCGTTTGTTATGTTGCACTATTGAAGCTGTTGGTAATTGCCAGCGTCAGCTGTTGTAATTTTAATAATCACTTTATTTCGGATTAAGGCCCCTATGAACATGATACATATTCATGGCTTTTATCTTCCTTCATTTATCTTTCTGTCAGAATAATTTTATGCAAAAAAACTGCATTAAAAAAAAAAAAAAAAGACAACTGTGCTGTACCTTAATTACCACCTCTTCTGCAATAAAAGATTCCAAATGGGATTTCAAATGGTATGTATGTTTATAGATTTAAATTGAGAAAAACTTAACATTTTCTACGATATTGACGTTTCCTTTTGTTTCTTTGAGCAGTATTTATTGCACAGTTACTATATGTATGGAGCACTGTGCTAGATATTTTTTAGATTTTATTGGTATTGTTAATGAAGTTTTAAAATAGCAATTTGAGTGGGTGCAGTGGCTCACGCCTGTAGGCCGAGGCGGGCAGATCACGAAGCCAGGAAATCGTGTCCATCCTGGCTAACACGGTGAAACCCCGTCTCTACTAAAACCCACTACAAAAAAAAATTAGCCGGGCGTGGTGGCGCAGTGCCTGTAGTCCCAGCTACTCTGGGAGGCTGAGGCAGGAGAATGGTGTGAACCCGGGAGGTGGGCTTGCAGTGAGCCGAGATCATGCCACTGCACTCCAGCCTGGGCGACAGAATGAGACTCCATCTCAAATAAAATAAAATAAAATAAAATAACAATTAAAAAAACTCTTCTAGGTATTGTAAACTTAGGAATGATATTTTCACTTCTTTATAACTAGCCTTTATACTGAATTCCTCTACTATTTTGGTTTTTTTTTTTTTTTTGGGATGGAGTCTTCTCTGTTGCCCAGGCTGGAGTGCAATGGTGATCTCAGCTCCTGCAACCTCCGCCTCCCGGGTTCAACGATCTCCTGCTTCAGTCTCCAGAGTAGCTGGGACTACAGGCACCTGCCACCACGCCCAGCTAATTTTTGTATTTTTAGTAGAGACGGGGTTTCACCATGTTGGCAGCCCAGGCTGGTTTGAAATCCTGACCTCGTGATCCTCCCCCTCGGCCTTCCAGAGCTGTGATCACAGGTGTGAGCCACTGCACCTGGCCTCTCCTATTTTTAATAGTCTTTCAGCCCAGCCTCTACTGTTTTTAATAATCTTTCAGTCTGAGCCGCGGTGACTCATGCCTGTAATCCCAGCATTTTGGGAGGCCGAGGTGGGTGGATCACCTGAGGTCAGGAGTTCGAGACCAGCCTGACCAATATGGTGAAACTCCGTCTCTACTAAAAATACAAAAATTAACTGGGCAAGGTGGCAGGCGCCTGTAGTCCCAGCTACTCGGGAGACTGAGGCAAGGAAAACTTCGCTTGAACCCGGGAGAGGCGGAGGTTGCAGTGAAAGCTGAGATCATGCCATTGCACTCCAGCCTAGGCAACAGAGCAAGACTCTGTCTCAAAAAAAAAAAAAAAAAAAAATAATAATAATAATAATAAAAAAAAAAAAAAAAAAAAAAAAATAATAATAATAATAATCTTTCAGTTGATTCTCTTAACTTTTCTAAGTAGACTATTATCAATCTGCAAATAATAATAATCTCATCTTCCCTTGTTGTCCTTATATTTTTCATATTGTATTGGTTAGAACTTCTAGAGCAAAGCTAAATAATATTGCAGTTAAGGCAATAGTGTTCTATTCTTAGTTTTTTTTTCTTTGTGTGTGTGTGTTTCTTTTGTTTATAATTTCCCCTATACTGTACTAATCATATGTTTATTCTGTTTTTAATCATTAACACCATGAGCTTTATTGCTAGATTTTTCTAACATCAAACTGTTCTTAAATTACTAGAATAATTTCTACTTGTTGATGGTATATGGTCCTTTTTAATGTAATTCTGAATTTGCTAATTTTTTTTTTTTTTTTTTGAGACAGAGTCTCGCTCTGTCGCCCAGACTGGAGTGCAGTGGCGCGATCTCGGCTCACTGCAAGCTCCGCCTCCTGGGTTTACGCCATTCTCCTGCCTCAGCCTCCCGAGTTAGCCGGGACTACAGGCACCTGCCACCTCTCCTGGCTAGTTGTTTTTTTTTTTTTGTATTTTTTAGTAGAGACGGGGTTTCACCGTGTTAGCCAGGATGGTCTTGATCTCCTGACCTCATGATCCGCCCGTCTCGGCCTCCCAAAGTGCTGGGATTACAGGCTTGAGCCACCGTGCCTGGCCAGCTAATATTTTTGAAAAGATTTTTACATTTATAATTCCTAAGTAAGACTGACATGTGGTTGTCTTTGTCGTGCTTGTTACCAAGGTTATGGTAGCTTAAAACGTGAATAAGGCTTTCCATCTTTTTTTGTGCTCTAGAAACTGTCTTTAATTATGCTAATGACACTTTTTTCCTGATTACAAAAATGATCATTTTCTTATAAAATGTTAGAAAATCCCACTACTTAGCTAGAACCACGGTGCTTTCATGTGTTTGTATTTAGTTCCTAGGTTGTTTTTTCTCTGTTTGGGTGATATTTTATTTTATGACTTGATTTTTTTTTCCTTTTCATAAGTTGTGATGGATATCTTTCTATGTGAACAGATTGAGATTTGAGCCGTAATTTTTAATGGCTACATACTGTGTCTTTTATCTCCCGAACACTTTTGGTTTTCGATTTTGTGGGCTCCTCTTCGTAGGCCTGGTGTGTGGGGGGCTTTTTTTGTTTGCTTCTTTTGCCCTTTTCTCTTTGAGTGTAGAGAGATCTGTTTTCCTTGGTGTTTCCCTACAACATTGTAGGTGGTTGTTCCTTGGTTCCCAGGAGCATGGGGGTAGTTGAGGTTCGACTTTCCTTGGCTGCTGGTGCCTTGGAGGTCTGCTGGATGTGTGCAGTCTGGGCCAGCCTCTGGCACACTGGCTGCTTTTCCTTGGTGTGATTCTGCACATCCAGGGAGGGAGTCCACTTGACTTATATAATTGCTGCTTTTGACAAGGTAGCAAAGGAAACCTGGGGTATTCTGTCTTTTTAACATGTCTCTGATTTCATCCGTGGATGAATATGTTTTAACTTACACAGGCGGTTTTTTCACGTTTCCAAATTCCTGAGAGACCTCTTCTCGCCCTCTTCTCCATCCTTTCATGTAACAGGTTAGAGTCACAGACACAAATTTCCTCTGGGATGATTGGAGAAAATTCACATCCTCCTGGGAAAAGAGTCATGTGTGGTTAACATTCCTCTTGCATAAAAAGAACACATTGCCGTAAAAGGTTTCATTGGGTTGTAAATTTTACCGGTTGTTTAGAGAGCCTGGTGGGGATGGTAATGGGACTTCACGCTTTGTCATTTGAAGCCTGGCTGAGAGAACTGTGGGTTTTTGCCCTGGAATGAAGACTTGGGGAACACAATTTCCTGCACGGTTCCAAGGCAGATACATAGGATCAATGGGTAGAAGCTGAGGCCACAGGATTCAGCTGATGGTGAGAGCTCACTAACAGTTTCTAGTCAGTATCGGTGTTCCAGTCTGGCTTGGCTCACCACTTGGCCAGGATGTGGAGCGGGTACGAGCTGTAAGTGGGCAGCTGGGCCAGGGCACCACTGAGCCTCCTTCCAGCCCTGAGTTTGTCGTGAGGGGCTGAGTATCTATCTCTTCCAGCCCTGGTTTGGTGGAATCATAGCCCGTGAAGTAGTGTTTATGTGATGTAATTTCGTGGATTCTGCGCTCTGGACTAGAATACTTAGGATGTGTTCTTTTCTTTTCAGCTTACCGTGACAATCAGAGCTTTGTTGCAGAACCTGAAGGAAAAGATCGCCCTTTTGAAGGACTTATTGCTAAGAGCTGTGGCAACACATCAGATGTATCCATGTAAACATTTCCACCTCTTTTCTAGAGTGGGAGGGAAAGCAGTCGTATTTTAAGGAAGGAAGGAATCTGGGCCACCCAGATTTTCCCACAGCTTGAGGAAGACCTGGTTTCCAAAATATTGCCTGTAATCTTGATTTCTATTTTCAGTGTCTGTTACATGTTTTACAGTGAATATGCTGGCAAAGCAAGACCTACCGAGGGAATTAACTTACTTGGGTGTAACCTGTACAGTTCAGGAAGCTAATGCTTTCCATCAGTGCTGTATTTACGGAGCCCCGCACTGCTCCCTGTCTAGACTGCCTTGACTGTAGCTGGCTACTGCTCCAACAGGAAAACTTCCATGATCATCCTAAGCTGTGATTCTGCTTCTGGGAGTTTCCAGAGTTTTTAGTGATCATTTCTTTTCGGAGAGGCCAATACCAGTAGAAACCATACATCTCTCCCTTCCCCACCTACCCCGGTGTTTATGTAGATGATTGAAATGTGGCTTGTTTACCTTATTTTTCCTCCAGAGGCACAGACTCTGCCTCTAGTATGGGAGTTTGAGGGGAAGGGGTGGGGTGGGACTTCCTTGAAGCAAGTTATGCCGTCATTTTAACCTCCTACCAAGTGGTAAAATTTTTTTTTTTTTTGGAAATTCATAATCTGGGCCAGGTGCAGTGGTTCACGCCTATAATCCCAGCACTTTGGGAGGCTGAGCACTTGAGGCCAGGAGTTCGAGACCAGCCTGGTCAGCATGGTGAACCCCATCTCTACTGAAAATATAAAAATTAGCTGGGCATGGTGGCGCACGCCTGTACTCCCAGCTACTCGGGAGGTTGAGGCAGGAGAATCACTTGAACCTGGGAGGCGGCGGTTGCAGTGAGCCGAGATAGTGCCACTGCACTCCAGCTTGGCCAACAGAGTGTGACCCTGTCTCAAAAAATAAAAAAAAGAGAAATTCATAATCTGATCAATTTAGGAATATATACATGACTTGTTACCTATACTAACCCTTTACACCCGAGTGTATATTGGTTTGAAAACTTAACCTCAAACTGGTCTTCTCTCATCATTTCTCTAAATTGTCAGTAGTTCATGCCAGAGACCCAATTTTTCGTATTTCAGGAAGTAGATACTGCCAGGTTTTAAATATATGGAAATACGGAAATACAACTTTTTAGATAAAACAATGGAAAGTGTTCTAAAAATTATTTTCCCCCATTGTTACCCCTTTATATCACTAGGAAAGTTGGCTTAGTTGCATGATTTTCTAGATATTCAATGATTGATATACTAAGTTTAAAATAAGAGTTTAATTTCAAACAATTAGGGCCTTATTTTTAACACAATTGGAATATTCTGAGATACTTCACCTTCCATGTCGTGTAATTTGTTATGGCACAGTTGGTCTATCATATAAAAGGTTTTTATTTTACCCAAATCGACAAGTCCTAATATACAGACCTCACTGCACCATTGTGCCCAGCTAATTTTTTTTTTTTTTTTTTTTTTTTGAGAGGGAGTCTCACTCTGTTGCCCAGGCTGGAGTACAGTGGTGCAATCTCGGCTCACTGCAAGCTCTGCATCCCAGATTCACGCCATTCTCCTGCTTCAGCCTCCCGAGTAGCTGGGACTACAGGTGCCCACCACCACGCCTGGCTAATTTTTTTGTATTTTTAGTAGAGACGGGGTTTCACCGTGTTAGCCAGGGTGGTCTCGATCTCCTGACCTCGTGATCTGCCCGTCTCAGCCTCCCAAAGTGCTGGGATTACAGGTGTGAGCCACCATGCCTGGTCTAATTTTTGTATTTTTAGTAGTTTCAAATGGGCAGTTCTATTTACTCTGCTTTCAGTACTAAGCACTGGGAAGTCTACACATGGTAAGGTGTGTGAATTCATGTTAGTGTTACCTAAAGCACATATATTAGAAAGGTAACTACATATTGTTTCATGATATCATATGCATTTGCTTCCATTTAGATAACATTATTAGTCACCTTGTTTATGTGCTAAACCTACTACAAGAAAAATATACAAATTAAGAGCTTTTTCTTTTTTCTATTAGTAATAATTGCTGCTAGTTATTACAGAGTACTAAGCATACCACAGTTATAATTGACTCTGTTCTCCTAAATGCTTACAGTCTGATCGTCTGTTGAAATCTCACAGGTTTTTGGTTTTGTGGTCATCTCAGAATTACTTCCCAAATTATTGAATTAAGGAGGAAGCATCAAAAACACTGAACAAGAGTTATTTAAAACATTACAAAAATATTTAGGGGCCTTAATGTGGATAATTTAGAATTTACTAGGAGACATCAAAAATTCAACTGGAATACAACAACTTTCTTTAAAAGTCTGTTTATTTTTTCAAATAATTGATCTATTTCTACTGTAACAACTGCAGCCAGTACTAGGGATGGCATTTAACTAATCCACCCCATGAGGGCGCTCATAAACCTGTGTATTTTTAGGGAGGCCACCTTTTTTTTTCTTTTTTTTTTGAGATGGAGTCTCACTGTCGCGCAGACTGGAGTGCAGTGGCGTGATCTCAGCTCACCACAACCTTCACCTCCTGAGTTCAAGCGATTTTCCTGCCTCAACCTCCTGAGTAGCTGGGATTACAGGTGCGCGCCACTGCACTCAGCTAATTTTTGTATTTTGAGTAGAGACAGGGTTTCACTATGTTAGCCAGGCTGGTCTTGAACTCCTGACCTCAGGTGATCCGCCCTCCTCAGCCTCCCAAAGTGCTGGGATTACAGGCGTGAGCCACCGCGCCTGGCCACTTTTGATGTAAGGGAAAGGAGGTAGTGTATATATTATGAAGGCTTCTTTTTAATTCTCCCTCTGTTCCTCCCCTCTTCCCTTCCCCTAACCTCCATCTTCTTCCCAAACATTTAAAACAATTCTCTGGCAGTTATCCTCCAGATTTAAGATAGATAGCAATCTGTGAGTCCTAATAATCTCATATTATTAGATTTTTTTGGTGTTTCCTTCTCTTCCTTACAAAAATAGATACTGAGGCCAAGTTAAACATCGCACCGAAAGTCACTGATGAAGTTGGAGAGATAACCCAGAATTCCAGCAGAGGAGGTTGTTTTGTTTGTCTTGTTTTTTTTTGTTTTTTTAGACAGAGTCTCGCTCTGTCACCCCCGCTAGAGTTCAGCGGCACAATCTCGGCTCACTGCAAACCCCGCTTCCCGAGTTCAAGTGATTCTCCTGCCTCAACCTCCTGAGTAGCTGGGATTACAGGCATGTGCCACCATGCTCGGCTAATTTTTGTATTTTTAGTAGAGATGGGGTTTTGCCATGTGGTCCAGGCTGGTCTCGAACTCCTGACCTCGTGATCCACCCACCTCGGCCTCCCAAAGTGCTGAGATTACAGGTGTGAGCCACCGTGCCCAGCTCCAGCAGAGGCATTTTCTACACTGAGGAGAGGATTCTTGGAGAGCTTTAGTCATTACCCAGGACCCCACAACTAGGAAATGGAAGAACCAGGTTCAAACACAGGGCTGGGTGGCCCCAACGTGAATTGTTTAAAAGCTGAATTATACTTGAGTAGAAATAATACAGTCAGCTGTCGCTTGGCATGTCTTCAACTAGAATTCTCTATTAATTGTTGTGTTGCTGGACTGCCAATACAAATCTTGTTTATAATACAAATCTTCAAGAACCTTCTTAACTCTCAGAAGATTAGACAGTGTTCACTGTGGTTTATTAGGTATACTTTATGGTGTTGAGAAAAATGTTTGTTCATAAATCACCAATGGAGTGACTTTTTAATCCTTTTTTTGAGGCATAATGAATGTTTGGTGACTTTTTTAATGTGAATATTTGAATACCACATTTCCTTACTGTGCTGGGTAGTTGAGAGTTTATGATCCTTAATAAATTTATGCCTTTCTACATTTGTGAATGTGTCCAAAGAACACTAGGAGTTGCCAGAAAGATAAGTCCTATGCAAATGCTTTCTAAACATTGAAATTCATGGAATTAAGGCATGGGATGTTATGCTCTCTCCTGAAAAAGTATTTTTCTCCTGGCAGGAGTAAAAGTCAAGTTAAAATGGAAGTTCTGTGCTTTTGAATCCGTTAGTATGCAATTAATAATCCGAAGTTTTTCAGTCAGAGAGTTTAAATTCTGAAAGGCCTTAACATCTGTTCACAGTGCTCTTTGAGACAGGAACTGTAATTGCCTCACCAGCTGAGAAGAGGTGTATGCTATGGGAGGCTGCATGTGAAATTCCAGATAGTACTAAAGAGATTTAGTACCATCTTCTTAGAGTTGGCTTCACATGAAACTTATCCTTTTGTTGGCATTTCAAAGGAGGCCGCACATTTACTTATTTTAAAGAGAATAAAGAAAATCTCTTTACAAAGGGGTTTGATGTCAAAAAGTACTTTGGTGTCTTGGGAGAAGGCCTTTGGAAATAATTTTTAAAAATCTATAAAAAATAGGTAAGTAGGGCCGGGCGCGGTGGCTCACGCCTGTAATCCCAGCACTTTGGGAGGCCGAGGCGGGCGAATCATGGGGTCAGGAGATGGAGACCATCCTGGCTAACACAGTGAAACCCTGTGTCTACTAAAAATACAAAAATTAGCCGGGCATGGTGGCGGGCACCTGTAGTCCCAGCTACTTGGGAGGCTGAGGCAGGAGAATGGCGTGAACCTGGGAGGCGGAGGTTGTAGTAAGCCAAGGTTGAGCCACTGCACTCCAGTCTGGGTGACAGAGCGAGACTCCGTCTCAAAAAAAAAAAAAAAAGATAGCTAAGTAGATAGATAGATGCATAGACAGATGTGATTACTACGTAACAAACCCCAATGGATGTGGTTGTGGAGAGGCTGACTGAACAGATTTTTGTTTTGTTTTGTTTTGTTTTGTTTTTGAGACGGAGTCTTGCTCTGTCGCCCAGGCTGGAGTGCAGTGGCTGGATCTCAGTTCACTGCAAATTCCGCCTCCCGGGTTTACGCCATTCTCCTGCCTCAGCCTCCCGAGTAGCTGGGACTACAGGC